ACCGCTGGTGCTGGGAAAACTGGGCAGCCACATGCAGAAAACTAAAAGTGGACCCCAGCCTATCACCATGCACCAACATCAACTCAAAATGGATTAAAGACCTTAACATTAAACCTGAATCTCTGAAACTACTGCAGGACAGAGTAGGAGAGACACTTGAACTAATAGGCACAGGAAGGAACTTCCTGAACAGAGTCCCAGGGTCACAACAAGTTGGAGAGAGACTCGACAAATGGGACTACCTTAAAATAAAAAGCTTCTGCACAGCTAAATCTATCGCAACTAAGCTAGAAAGACAACCAACTAATTGGGAAAAAATATTTACCAGCAATATATCAGACAAGGGGTTAACATCCTGTATATACAGGGAACTCAAGAAACTAATCCCTCCCAAACCTAACAAACCAATTACTAAATGGGCAAGGGAACTAAAGAGGGACTTCTCAAATGAAGAAATAAAAATGGCAAAGAAACACATGAGGAAATGTTCATCATCCCTGGTGGTGAAGGAAATGCAAATAAAGACAACCCTGAGATACCACCTTACCCCAGTCAGAATGTCCCACATCCACAAATCAGCCAACGACAAATGCTGGAGGGGATGTGGAGAAAGAGGAACCCTATTACACTGCTGGTGGGAATGTACACTTATACAACCACTTTGGAAAGCAGTCTGGAGGGTCCTTAGAAAGCTAAAGATTGACCTCCCTTACGACCCAGTCATACCACTTCTAGGCATCTACCCTGAACAACAGGAACCAATATACAAGGACACGTGCACCTCCATGTTTATTGCAGCACTGTTCGCAATAGCTAGGATATGGAAACAACCTAGGTGCCCCACCACAGATGAATGGATCCAAAAATTGTGGTATCTATACACAATGGAATATTATGCAGCCATTAGAAATGACAAAATAATGGCATTTGCAGGGAAATGGATGGAGCTAGAAGGAATCATGTTGAGCGAGGTAAGCCAAGAACGAAGAGACAAACGGTACATGGTCTCCCTCATAAGTGGATGCTAAATCCAAAAGGTTAGTGATACGACAAAACTAACAGGACTTAAGAAACAAAGAACTCCCGCTCATCTGGTTGAACCACTACTAAATATCCTCATGCTGCTGATCACAAATATGGTATATAACATGTGAACACTGTTATATATTACAGACTGTGGTAGACAATTTGCTCCAGGGAAGTTAGAATGAACTTGTGACTTTGAAATTATGTAATCATTTAATCACAATCAAAAAAAAAAAAAAAAAAGAACCTCGGGGAAGGGAGGGAGGGAGGGGATGGTAGGGGGAAAACAATGGAGGGGGTAACAAGGTTCAAGAGGAAGTGTACTCATAACCTCACTCATGTAACTGTGACCCTCTGTATAGTAGCTTTACAATAAAAAAAATAAAATAATAAAAAAAAAAAAGAAAAAGGAACTGAGCTTTGGACTCAAGCTATCTGCCTCAGACTTTGTGCTCTTAATCACTAAGTAATAATGGCTTGAAAAGATTAAATAAACTAGACGTGCTGACGCAGGCTTGTAATCCTGGCACTCTGGAGACTTGATAGATTGAAGCCAGTTTGGGCTACACAGTGAGACCCTATCTCATAAAAAGAAACAACCAAAACCCATAAAGATGATAAAGTAATAGCATTGCCTTTAGACTCACTTGCGTTTGATGCCCAGTTTTGCTGATGTATGTCATTTCTATTAGATGTTTTACTTGTTGGCCAGCTTCCCACCTGTAACATGGGCATACGTAGTCACTGCCATTTACTGAGCACTTTATAGTCTACTTTCTCTATGGAGATTGAATTATTAGCCCATTAACATGTACTAATTTTGTGGGCTGGTTTCTTGATTGACAGTCTTATAGCCTCTGGTGCTTCAGGAGTTAAATGGAAAGGGAGTTGGTGGACGTGACTTGGACAGTGGGAAATGCTCAATTAGCTCTTTGCCCATTTCACAGTTTTGTTGAGGGCTAATTCAGGTACAACAATAACATCAAGAATATTTAGATGAGTTTTTTTTTTTTTTTGTCGGTCATGGGGCTTGAACTCTGGGCCTGGGCGCTGTCCCTCAGCTCTTCAGCTGAAGGCGAGCGCTCTACCACTTGAGCTACAGCGCCACTTCTGGTTTTCTGGTGGTTTATTGGAGATAGGAGTCTCATGGTCTCTCCTGCCCGGGCTGGCTTTGAACCGCGATCCTCAGATCTCAGCCTCCTGAGTAGCTAGGATTACAGGCGTGAGCCACCAGCGCCCGGCTTATTTAGATGAGTTTTAAAAAATCATTCTGGCTGTAAATGTGTGTGTGTGTGTGGGGGGGGGGGGGGTGTCTGCGCTTGCGCGCTGGTCCTAGGGCTTGAACTCAGGGCCAAAGCATTGTCCGTGAGCATTTTTGCTCAAGGCAGGCACTCTACTACTTAAGCCACAGCTCCATTTCCGGAGCTGTGGTTAACTGGAGATAAGAGTCTCACAGATGGGGGAGGGAGAATTGGTGGGGGGGAGGCTGGGAAGGGATGTGAAAGGTAAACAAAGGAGGAGGCTGCAATGCTTGATAAGAAATGTACTCACTATCTTGTCCATGTAATTGTAACCCCTCTGTACAGTATGTTCACAAAAAATAAAAATAAATTAAAAAAAAAAAAAAAAAAAAAAAAAAAAAGAAAACAACAAAAAACATGTGGTATCTGACCTCAATTTTTACATAATCTCAGTAAATAGACCTCACTGTTAATCGCCCTGCATGTATAAGCTACATGTAAATGATTTTACTAAACAGGCTATGTTGTTTTCAGATGTCATTTTGACTTGTTGCCTTTTGTGTTAGATAGCTGAACACAAAACAAAATATGCTGTATTAAATATCATGGAGAAATACATTTTGGCGGAGGTGGAGATAGGCTCAGACTAGGGCTCTTACTTAGGTTGCTGTTTGTGTGTGACAATCCACCATATAAACCACACCTTCAGTCTGGCCTTTTTGGTTTTTTCTGGATTTACTTTGTTTAGGAAATGGTGTCTTGCAAAACTTTCTGCCTGGACGGGCTTCACATTGTAACTCTTCTGGTCCCAGAGTTCTGAGTTAATAAGATCATGGCATGAGCCACGATCACCCAGCGGAACAAACCATCCATACTCTAAATGTCCTTTAGAATCACTTATTAAATTCTATTTTATCATTTATCTTTTGGCAGTGTTAGGGATTGAACCCAGGACCTTTGGCAAACATTCACTACTGCGCCACATCTCCAGCCCTTAACCCTTCATATAGGAGAAATCTTCTACAGCATACTCCCTCCCCGTCTCTCCTTCTCTCTCTCTCTTTCTCTCTTCCTTTCTTTTTTTTCTTCCTTTCTCTCTCTCTTATGCCAGCATTTTTTTTTACACTTAAGGCTGGCACTCTACCACTAGCACCACAGCTCCATTTTTGGCTTTTTGATGGTTAACTGGAGATAAGAGTTTCATAAAACTTTCCTGTCTGGGCTGGCTTCAAACCCTGAGCCTCAGATCTCAGCGTGTTGAGTAGTTAGGACTACAAGTGTGAGCCACTGGTAGGTATTTGGTACAATATTACATTTCATTGTTCATTTCTCCCAACAGAACTCTGAGAGGAAAGATGCCTACCACCATCACAGTTATTAGGACTTTGCTCTCTTTAAACCTGAATGATGAACAGTAAAATTAGAATGTGCTTTAAAATAAGCACAAAATTTAGCCAGGGTTAGTGGCTGGTGTCTGTAATCCTAGCTATTTAGGAGGCTGAGATCTGAGGATTGTGGTTCAAAGCCAGCATGAGCTGGCTGGAGATGAGACTCATCTCTTATCTCCAATTTGTCACCAAAGAGCTGAAAGTGGAGCTGTGGCACAAGTGGTAGAGTGTTAGCTTTGAGCAAAAACTGTCAGGGATAGTGCCCCGGCCCTGAGTTCAAGCTCCAGGATTTTGAGAGTGGGGGAAGGAGGGAAGAAGAGGAGAAGGAGGAGTAAGAAGAAGAGAAGGAGAATTTTAATATGAGATTGAAGTTTTTTTTCAGACCCTCATTATCTGATGGGACTTTTGATGCTGATCCCTCTTGAAACCTTGAAATGTTGCCATTTTGACTGAAGCACTGAGTTTTACGGAAAATTAATTTTAAGTTATTTAATTTTTAAACAGTTATATGTGGCTATTATATTGTACAGTGCAAATTTAGATAGAAAAATAGCTATCTCATCTCATCCAAAAAGATTTTTGGAAGGTGAATGTCCTAACTCAAAGTTACTGTCAAAACACATTAAATACTTCACATGAAAGAATTGTATGAAGTGAATTCACAAATTAGAAGATAAGGAAATTCGAAAACTACCTTTGTGTTAGGAATATGTACAAGTGAATTGGGGGCAGGAGGATTAGAGTGAAAAACAAAACCCATGTAGGTACAGCTGCTGCTTTCTAGAATTTTCCCACAAAACTAAATTAACTTCAAAACAGTTTACAAGCCTAAGAGTACATATTGAATTTCTCAGAATCAGGGGAACCAACAAGAAACTCTCCTAAATACCGAGCTCATGGCTCTGTTTAAAAATTCCGACGAATAAGCAAATAAAGATCAAATCTGCCAATGCCTGCATCCTATTTGCAACCCTTCAAAATTGGCCTTTCACCTTGACCCTCACACACGTTTAACTCCAACACACCTAAACCCCTAAGCCCAGTACACAGGGCTCATAACCTTAACACACAGGAAGCATTCACTCTGGCACAATCGTGCTTATTTGCTCCCTCCGCGGGTGCTCTACCACTTGAGCCAGCCTTGCTTTTGGCCGGTTATTTTAAAAAGTGGGTTTTCCTGCTCCACACTTGATCCTCTGGACCTCGGGTCTCCGGACCAGCGAGGATTACAGGTGTGAGTCGCCCGCTCCCGAGCGCGCGCGCGCGCCCTCGCAGGAGCCCCGCGGCGCGCAGGGTCACCCTGGAGCGGGTCCCCGGCCCCGGCTGCCCGCGCGGCGGCCCTCACCTTTCTCGCTCACGCTCTCGCTCTCCAGCTCCACGTCCTCGCAGCTCGTGTACTCGGGCGTGGACACACCCTCCTCCTCCGAGCTGCTCACCGACATCTGCCGCTTCTTGCCACCCCTGCGGGACCGGTGCGGCTTGGGCGGCGAGGGGCGCACGGACTCGGACTGGTCGGAGCTCAGCGAGTCGTTCCGCAGCATGGTCTCCACCTTCTCCCGCTTGGCTTTGCGGATGAGCACGGCCGAGCCGGGGTCCAGGCGGCTCTGCTTCCTGAGGGGCTCCGGGGCGGGGGGCTCGGGGGCGTCCGCGGGGCCCGGCCCGAGCCGGGGCGCCCGGGGCTCCGCGGTCCTCTCGGGCGCGCGGGCGCGCGGCGAGTCTGGGCCCGGGGCGCGCGGGCCGGCCTGGCTCTCGGGCGCCGCGGGCCCGGCCTCGGTGTGCGGGAGCGCCACGTCGCTGTGGCGCCGCTCGTGCCGGGCGCGGGACACCCGCGCGTGCATGCGCATCTGCTGCTCCTCGGGCGGAGGCTTCACCGGGTACCGCGCCAGGTTCGGGTCGCTGCGGTACCTGGTCTGGTACTCTTCCTCCTTCCGCTGCTTCTCCGCCGCCGCCGCCGCCGGGCCCGCCTCTCGCTCGTCCCGCACGTCGGGGTAGTCCTGGGATCGCCCCTTCTCCAGCCTGCGGCTTTCCCGCCTTTCTTTCCGCTCCCGGTCTTCCGCAGCCCCTTCTCCGGGCTGCGCGGCCGTCTTCGGCCCGCGCTTCCGATCGGCCTTCGGGGCCGCTTTGCCATTCTGGTCCGACGCCCCCGGGGCCTTCTTCCTGCGACCAGCAAGGAACCACAGGGAGAGCGGTTTGTCAATTGAAAAGGTCACCTGCCCACCCCACGTTTAAATCACTGCAGACAATGAGTTGCAATGTGAGGGCTAATTAAAAACTGCGATGGTCAAGGGGCTGCTGGCTCAGCGTGGAAAGCTACGCGAGAAGCTGAGATCTGGAGGTGAAGGTTTGAAGCCAGCCTGTGCAGAAAAGTCGGTGAGAATCTTACTTCCGGTTAACCACCAAAAAGCAGGAAATGGAACAGTGGCTTAAGTTGGGAAGCACCAACCTTTAGCCAAAAAAAAAAAAAAGCCAAGAGAGAATGTGAGGTCCTGAGTTCAAGCCCCAATGCAGGCAATGAATGAATGAATGAATGAATAAGAGGCAAAAGGCCACATACCTTGTATAACCAGTTAGCTATTTTGAAATATGTTCCTACTTTGTATTAAGGACTTAAAATGTTGTTTACACGTTTAACTATTAGATCAATAAAATTATTAAGAAATCAATCAAGTAGATGGATTGTTAATGCCTCTTTCTGTTTGTAATTCAAGAACAAAATATATGTAAAGTAATATAGACAACAGTAATGATCAAAGGTAACCTGTATCCGCTAAAACCAGATATATACTTCATATGAATATTGATTATATATGTATATATTTTCTATATGTAGAAACAATATATTGTCTGCATATACACAATATTGTCTATAAATACAATATATAATTGGCAATTTTTACTTTTAACTTTTAGGGAAATTATATACAAGTGTACACTTCAGGAATCAAATGTAATAGTATTTCATTAATAGTGGAATAAATTCTTACTTGATTATGTGTACCCAAACATGTTTTCAGTTTTCTAGGAGACATTAGCTAACCATAGCTTCTGATTTAACTTCCTTGGATAAAGTTAATAGAAATATTTTACTTTCGTTTCACTGCTGAATATCAAACCCAGAGCTTCTTGTATTCTAGACAAGTGCTCTACCACTGAGCCACACTCAAAGCTTCCAAATTCTGCCATTTTTGAAGATGTTATTCATCCTTCTTCCTTCACTCCCAATCATTTGAGAATAGGGTCTGAAAGAAGAAAACTTGTATTTCTCCTTTCTCCCTAAGCTGTTGAAGACACAGGTCAAGAAAAAAATAAGGAAATGGATCCGAAGTCTTTGAATGGTATAAACGTGTCATGCCGTGGAACCTTTTCATCTCTGCTCTACACTGCAATGCACCTGATTGGGGGAAGTTTCATCAATTTTTCCAGAAGTTTTGGCCAAGCATTGTGGACTTACATGTTCTACTATACTGTTGAAATGGGGGCAAGCATAGGCTTGTGTTGGGAGTGCTGACGTCCTAAGAGATGGCTTTTGAGAGGTAATATTATAATTGTATGTTCCCAAAGAGAATGTCATGAATAAAAGTTGAGAAAACAACACAGACAACACTGAGTGAGGGTAATTTCTGTTGTGAGCTAGCGAGATACAGTTGCTAAGATACAGTGTTGGATGGATGGGAAGAGAGGCAGATAACAATAGTAGTAGAGACAAAGGATATATTAATGGGCCAGGAAAACAAAACAAAAGCATAGTCAGTATTGCATGAAACATTTAGATCTTCCTGATCTTTGAAATGAAAGAGATGTGGATCTAAAGGGGAACTTGAAATGAAGGTTTTACTCTGCAAGTGGTTTAACAGGATGAGACATTGAGCATTAATAAATACAGCTCTAATAAAACTGTGGTGGCTGTCACAAAGACCAAGGGTCACTATATGAACATTGTATATTGTTGCACACAAACATTATTGTAGCTGAGAAAGGCACTATTGCTCTTACAGAGGTTTATGTTGGATCAAACAACTTACTTCTCTTGAAATGCTTGATAAATAATACTTGCTTACCTTGCAAAGTTCATGATAGTGTTAAAGAAAAACACCATCTCTGAAGATGTTTTATGAAAGGGAGTAGTATTACACAAATGGAAGCTGTTCATCAGTCTCTATGTTTCTTTATAGCACTAATTATGCTTTTTTTCATCTCCTGTTAATTGTTTGGTTTCCACTAGTTCCTGATAAATGTACAAACTCTGATCAGGAAATCATCAGAAGCCAAGTGCCAGTGGATCATACCTATAAACCTAGCTGCTTAAGAGACTAAGATCTTAGAATCACAGTTCAAAGCCAGCCCAGGCAGAAAAGTCCATGTCTCATCTCCAATTACAAAACAAAAGCAGAAAGTAGAGGTATGGCTCAAGTGGTAGAGTACCGGCTTTGAGAAAATAAGCCACGTTAGAGCAAGAGGCCCTAAGCTCAGGGGAAAAAAAGTTAAAGCCAGGTACGGTTGGCTGACACCTATAATTCTATCTTCTCAGGAGGCTAAGATCTGATGGTCAGGGTTCTAAGCCATGTCAGACAGGAAAAGTCCATGAGACTCTTATCTCTACCATCCAAAAACTGAAAGAGTAGCTATGGCTCAATTGGTAAAGTGCTAACAAATAGTCTATCATCTTTTCATTTCTGCACTAGCAGCCTGTCTTTTCCTGTTCTAATACACCTAATTCTATTTACATCATCAATAGATATCCTTGCTTCTATCAATAATCAAATTCCATCTAAAAATCAAACAAGTCTCAGTCCTTGAAATTCATGTTATTTTCCACCGTATGTCAAAACTAAATTATTTTCTCTTCAGCAACTTGACAGTTCCAGAAACTTTTATCTATTTAAGATCTTATATGTTGACACTGCACCTTTACTTTTCATTTCAATGTGTGTGTGCTGGTACTGGGGCTTGAACTCAGGGCCTTTTGCTCTCACTTGACTTTTTTTTCATTGAGCCGCACTGCCACCTCCAGCTTTTTGCTGATTAATTGGAGCTAAAAGTCTTATGGGCTTTTCTGACCAGGCTGAAAAATGTGATCCTCAGGTCTCAGCCTCCTGAGTAGGGAGGATTACAGGTATGAGCCACTGGTGCACAGCCTGGGGTTTTTGGTTTTGTTCTGTTTTCCAAATATTAGTTTATCACCAAAGCTACTCATCCAGAGTAAGGAATTTGTGGTGCCCTTTTTATCTTCTCTCCAAAAGCATAGGTCCTTTCTTCATGGAATCCCCTCTTTTTACTATTTTTCTCCCTACAAATCCTAGATATTTTACAAAGCTTAATTCATAAGTAGCTTCATCTCTTTCCTTGTAGTTTTGATAAGTCAACATCCTTGTTATATATCCTGGTTATATATCCTGATAGCTATATTTTCTAGAAGATGTTATGGGCTCTCTCCCTAAATGTCTGGGAGAAAAAGGAGTCCTGATCTGCATGCTCTCTGCATTCTGGCGCAGAGTTAATTCATAGTAAACACGTGATGACTTCTGGCCATGGCTATGGAAAAACCTAGCATGTGCCAACCTGGAAACATATGTTCTCTTTTAATATTTGACACAACTGTTTAAGTGGATTATTACTGTCTGTTGTGGCCTAGCCAAGACTGCAACCCTGACCTCTTTCATTTTCAGGTCCTCAATCTTATTGTGTGAGCTTTGTTTAAAAAGGTCACCCAAACCCTTCCTTGGAGCCCCATTTTCTACCCAATGGGATAAAAAAAAATAAGAGTTATACAGACAAGCCAAGTACCAGGGCTCAATCCTGTGATCCTGGCTGCTTGGGAGGCAGAAGTTGAGTGATCATAGTTCAAAGCCAGTTCTGGCAAAAAGAATTTTGCAAGACTCCAAGTCAACCAAATAGCACTTGTGGATTATCCTCGGGAAGCACAAGTAGAAGATCCCATTGCAGGCTAGCCTGGGAATAAAATGAGGCCCTAGCTTAAAAATAGTCAATGATGATTTCTTTGTTGCTTTTATGTCCATCCCCCAAGGTATAACCTCTGTTTTCACTGTATTTGATGTTGGTATAATTTGTGGAGGGGAAGAGAAAAAACAAGTTGTTTTAATAGGGATACAGGTGTACCATTGCAACAATGAGATGTATAAGACATTATGTCGAAAAACGAACTTTACAACTTTGGTGGGGAGCAGGGGAGATGGGAGGGCAAGGATGGTAAGGGGAAACAAAGGAAGAGGCAACAATGCTTGATAAGAAATGTACTCATTGCCTTGCTCATGTAATTGTAACCCCTCTGTACAGTATTTTCACAATAAAAAACTTATTAATTAAAAAAATAAAAGTAAACAAAAAATATCAATGCAAGAGGGAGCTAGAGGTAAGACTCAAGTGACAAAGCCTACTAAATGCCAGGCTCTAAATTCAATCCCTAGTACAGACAGAAAAGAAAAAGAAGTTACACAGACAGAAACAGTCAAACTTAATCCAGATCGCAACAATGATTTTTCCCACACTTCAAGCCACAGGATCATAGGGGTTATGCCATCCTTGTTAATGCTATTCCCTAACAGATACAGTGACAAACCTAGCCTTGAATGTATTTTTCAGCAAATGAATTAAATGATTGTAATAAACTACCTAACTACATTATCCCTTGTTTAAATCATAGTGGCTTTCCAATATGCCTAGGATAAAATTTATGACATTTAACACCATGAACTCAAGTACCACTCACCCATTCTTCCTTTACTTCTTGTACTCCAACCAATGGGCATTCTTGTGTGTGTGTGTGTGTGTGTGTGTGTGTGTGTGTGTGTCTGTCTGTCTGTCTGTCTGTGAATGTGTGTGTGTGTCTGTGTGTGTGTCTGTGTGTGTGTGTGTGTCTGTGTACCAGAACTGGAGCTTGAACTCAGGGCCCAAGTGTTGTCTCCTAGCTTTTTGCATTCAAGGCTGGCAGTCTACCATTTGAGCCACACTTCCACTTCTGGCTTTTTGGTAGTTAATTGGAGATAAGCATCTCACAGGCCCTCCTACTGGGATGGGCTTCAAACTCTGATCCTCAGATCTCAGCCTCCTCAGTAGCTGAGATTGCAGGCATGAGCCACCGGTGCCCAGCCAATGATTCTTCTTTAGGAAAATCTCACACCAAAGTTGACCACATGTCTGTGCTGATACCTGTGGTTTCATCTTGCCCTTCTCCTGGTCAAGTTAATTACTTTTCAGAGCTCATCATAGAAGAAATGCCCACAAAGAAGGCTTTCTCCTTTGTTTGCCAAAGGTCAAGTTCCCTCATCCTATCTGCTCATAGAACACTCATTTAGAGTAGGAATCATCTGAAGGGCACAATGGTGTTCATGATTGGAAATTAGTCGTTTAATCATGTGACAACATGTTTTACAACTGTTCAGGATGTAACAAAAAGGCCTTCCACCAAGGTCTCCTATGGAAGGATACTTTTTGAAGAGAGAAGAAACACCTTAGCCTGGCTGTTGTCTTCTGTGTGGCACTGAGAATTCTCAGCTCCACTTTCTCTTCCCACTAGAAGTGTAATTCTGGGAAACAGGTTTTTCTCCCCCAAGCCCGAATTGGACTGCTGCTTTCAACACTGATGAATTATTACCTCTCTCTTGGAGGTTCACTTCTAGATCTAGATGAAGCCTGCTTCTGTTCGGGCCCCAACGCTTGCTGTGAAGAATCTGCCCCTTTGCTTCTGTCTGGGGGTGCACTGGGGGGCACAGTGTCCTGGGACGAGGCCGCTGCCGTGCTCAAGGGTGTCTGGGACCTCGACCGCTCTTGGAGTCGTGCCTTCTTTTCTCTGGGAACCTCAGATCCAGCACCTGTGGCCGTGTCACTCAGGGTTCCGTCCTGACTTGGATGCTGAGGGCCGCTTCCAAAGAACCACGCACCAGATTTGGTTAAGATTTCTTGTTGCTTTCGACATAAATTGCATACCCACATAACCTATTTGAAGAAAAGAGAACAAGGTAATTTTTCTACGCTCATTTGGGCATAGAAAGAAACGTTTTCCTGTAAATATTAATGCTTACAAACTCCTTTTGGAAATGGTTGTCATGTAGGTTAGTGCATGCCTGGCCTGGTCTGGAACTCATCTTGAAAGCAAGATGTCTCTGGACATCATGAGCCATTTTTCTCACCAATTTTCTCACCATTTTTAATCATTCTGAGACTCCCTTTACCTTATACCTGCCGTTTTTGCATAATGGACTCTGAAGTTTCACTTAGAGCTCCTAAGTAGTAAAACTCTTAAGTGAGGTAGACAATTGATTAGAAAACTAATATAAAGAGCCTTAGGATTAGTATTTATGTGAACCAACTTCAGCATCTCAATGGACTTAAAAGATGTCTGTCTTCTTAGAAACCATTCATTATTAAAGCCAATCGTGAAAGTAATTCATATGGACCATATAAAGAGAGGCACAAAAGAGAAAGCCATGCAGTGTATTCTCTCTAGCTTCTTAGCAATAAACTAACCTCAAGCTTCTTTTTTAATGCTATAAGAAGTAATAATCCATGTAGAAAACTATAAAAGTAATAGGTCTGAGGCTGAATTTTATTCACACGTGAACATTCCAATGTAATACTGCACTAGTAGAGCTACTGGAAAATTGTAGCATCATTATCCTCTCTAGTCTTGATGATGTTTACAATGAGTACAAGACAGAGGGCAATAATCCTCATAAAAATAATGACAACCAGAGCAAAGAGAAGCAGTTTCCAAGCCATCATTGAGGCATGCTTTCAACTCTGATCATAAATATGAAGATAAATCCATTGCGTGGGCATATATCAAAATAGTTTATATTATATAACTTCAATTTAAAATGTTAGTCAAATCAAATGTTGCACCTTGTAGATACCATCACCCTGATTTCATAAGTCTCTCAGAAACCTCAAGAGAATGAGGGATGACATTTAAAGGAACAGTATTCCAGGACTGGGATTTCATGATTAGTGACATAGATCTCCTCTGCATAGAATCTAGGATTGAGGCTGTAGATGTTTTTTTCCATGATTCTTTTGTTGCTTTTTTAGCTAATAGGAAAGTCCAAAAACACTTTGAAAGTCATAAGTTGATTTGAAATCATATGGTTCAAGAAGATTGATATGAAAATTTTACATGAACTAGACATTAAACTTGAATTTCTCAAAGTCACAACAAGAAAATTTTAACTAAACATCCAAAAAAGGTACTTTTTACCTTAAAGAATGTATAAAATAAATAAATAAAATTTGTAACTATTGCAGTTTCCAAAATGAGAGTAAGCCAAATAAACAGGTCAGACAAATGATAGTCTTCGTTCAATGTCTAAGTAATTTCTATATATTTACACAAATTTATTTATAGTCTCATATATTGCATGATTTAAAAGCAATCACTAGATTTGGGTCAGTTTCCCATTTTTAAGATATACAGAAATGCTACAAGATCCATAGAAGGAAACAAAAACTAAATTTTCAATTAAAGTTAACATTTATAATTCATTTTATTTAATTTTCAATGTTTTCAGAAGGCTAAACTTATTGAATAAGTAAAATAAAAATAGTCATTTTACATAATGGTTTTAAATTGCTTTTCATCTAAGTCTGAGTGCTTCACTAGTTTATATTACTTTTGAAAGTTTTAGCAAAAATTTATTTTATTATAACAGCTTCAAAGAGGGAGCAAGAAAGACAAGATTGCAGATAAGTGTACTCTATTTTAAACATTCATTTTGAAAAAAACTATTAAATTCCAAATTTTCCAAATCATATTTCACAGTTTATTATAATTTAAAATCTTTATCTTACAACTAAGGGGTGAAACTACCCTCCAACAGGAAAATAACATTAACTATAAACATGCTGGTACTTAGATTTTATTAAATTACTACCTCTCCATTTCTGTTTTAAATTATAAGAATTATTCATATCAGGAATAACAGTTAAAAAGGAAAGTACTCAGCTGAGTGACACAGAGTTTCACACCTGAAATCCTAGCTACTTAGGAGGCTGAAATCTGAGGATCTTGATTCAAAGCCAGCTCAGGCAGAAAAGTCCTTGACACTCTGGTAGCAATAGTCTTGAGCAAAAACCCAGTGCCCACCCTGAGTTCAAGCCCCAGGACTGGCGTACACACACACACACACACACACACACACACACACACACACACACACACAGAGTACTTACATGAGTTATAAAGTACAAGGATATATATAAGATTACAATAGAATATTGTCATAACTTTTGATACATATCTTATCAAATATGCTGGCTATCTACAACAGTATCCCCAGTACTAGGAAGGTTATACATGTTTATGATTTTCTTTTAGCTTGGTATTAAGTATTAGATTTTCTTGGGCCTATAAACAAAAAAGTAGGGTGGGAAGAAATTCTTAGCAGATATAATTTTAAAAGAGGATAAAGCAGCTTGGATTCTGTGGACTGTAATCCTACTACTCAAGAGGCTAAGATCTAGGTATCATAGTTTGAAATCAGCTTAGACAAATAAATGCAAGATATTTTTATATCTAATATCCAATCTACCAGCAAAAAGCAGGAAATGAGATGTGGTTCAAGAAGTAGAGCACCATCATTTAGAGAAAAAGCCAATTAAAACCAAGGCCCTGAGTTCAAGCCTCAGTACAACACAAAAATTAAAAATTAGGTATGCTATTTATACTCTTCAGTCTCTCTCTCTCTCTCTCTCTCGCTCTCTCTCTCTCTCTCTCTCTCACACACACACACACACACACACACACAAGCCTTTTAGAGAGTACACTATGCAGAGTACACTATATCCTGATTAAATAGGCTGGGATGTGTTCCAAAGTAATCTAAACTGAAGGTGGAAGATTTGGGTAATAAGTTATCTTAACAATTCACAGATATTAAGCAATCAGAAACACAAACTCAAATGACAGGCTGGTGTGATGTAATGTGGATTCTGAAACTACATATCACATATCAGAAAAATAAGGAACAATAGAACATTTTAGTTTGTTCTTTTGCTTTAATGGCATGCTAATTACTTCCCCATTTAATGAATCATTAAGGAATACACGTAGCCATTTTATAAAACCTGCATCAACTTTTATCTAGAGTAATAAAAATTACAATAGTTCCACATTTATAAAGAGAATTCCATAGACAAAATGTGGTGAGAAAAAAAAATGATGTTCAGAATAAGCCATACTGTATACTTGTCTTTGTACAAAATGTTTATACTCCCAGAGCAAAAGAAATGTGTCTTGGATACTCCTGATGATATTAGCAAGATCATCATTCTGAAGTGCTCTGGAGTCTTTTATTATAACAAGCATCTTAGCCGGGCGCCTGTATTCCTAGCTTCTCAGGAGGCTGAGATCTGATTATCACAGTTCAAAGCCAGCCTGGGCAAGGCAAGTCCTTGAGACTCTTATCTCTAATTAACCACCAGAAAACCAGAAGTGGCACTGTGGTAGAGTGCTCACCTTGAGCTGAAGAGCTCAGGGACAGTGCCCAGGCCCAGAGTTCAAGCCCCACAACTGACTAAATAAATAAAAATAAAAAATAAAAATAACAAGCATCTTGCTTTACAGAATCTACCTCAAGTATTGAGTATTATAAAGAACGCTTATTTCAAAAATCAAGGTTATTTTATTTTATATAATATCTTACATACACGATATATATACAATATAATAAGTATATATGTAACATGTATGAATATGTACATTATATTGTACATAGATAGGTACCTAGATAATTTGTGTGGGGGAGGATGGGTGTGTGCACACGCATTTGCACTGGTACTGAGGCTTAAATCCAGGGCCTTGCACTCCTGCTTAGCTTTTTCACTTAAGGCCAGTACTCCACCCACCAATTGAGCAACAGTTCCCCTTCCAACTTTTTCCTCGTTAATTGGAGATAAGGGTCTCAGGGACTTTCATTTCTGGGCTGACTTTGAGTCTTCAGCTAGGATTATATGTGTGGTACCAGTATCTTCTCTACATTTCAATCTATAGTTTATAGATACTTTCTGAAGATTGATTTAATTTCCTACTATAATTTTTGTTATTACTGTACCATTTTGATAAATATGAACAGGAACACTGGATGTAGTCAACCTTATAGTTGCTGCATTTATTGACTATTTTTGTGCATTTTCAGTTACTTTCTTATTCAGGGAAGCAGAACTTATTTCCAAGGGAAACTAGAACCAAAATTGTCAAGGTCAAATTTCACTTTCTTTACAAAAGCAGAAAGGGTAGCAGAAAACAATTGACACAATAGATGAAAAGAAGTGATTTCTTTTTCTATGTATGCGTGTGTGTGTGTGTGTGTGTGTGTGTGTGTGAGAGAGAGAGAGAGAGAGAGAGAGAGAGAGAGAGACAGAGACAGAGACAGAGACAGAGACAGAGAATGTGTGTGTGTGGTCTGTGTGTGTCTCTGTGTGTGTGTGTGTGTTCCAGTTCTGGGGGTTGAGCTCGAGGCCTGGGTGCTGTCCCTGGGCTTCTTTTGCTCAAGGCTAGTGCTCTACTACTTCAGCCACTTCTGGGGGGGGGGGTTGGTGATTAATTGAAGATAAGAGTCTCTTGGACTCTCCTATCTGCACTGGCTTCTAACAGTGACCCTCAGATATCAGCCTCCAGAGTAGCCAGGATTATAGGTATGAACCACTGGTACTTAGTGAAAAATTGGAAGATTTAATAACTTCCAAACTGTATACTCTCATAAACTGTTGAATTTCAAAATAACAGAATAAGATACTATTTCAATAATATTATATACAGTTACAGAACAGTAAGCTAGAACAAGAACTTCAGAGAAGGGAGATATTAACACATTCCTAGAAGTTGCTATGAGTAAAAGATTAGTGAAATAAAAGGATGTGGTGGTTTAAACCACAAGGGGAGATCTTAACTGAAACTCTTCCAGAGTCCAGAGAATGCCATACTGGAAATGGCAGCTACTCTG